TTATAATATACTATCATGTACCAAAATATATTATACTATACTCTGATATATTATAACATACTGTAATATATTAATATACTCTAGAATCCCATGATGTAGTGGTAGTTGTGCTGCTCGTATTCGAGGCTTCAAGGCTGGGACCACCCCTTGGTTGCGGCAACTTCTTGTGCTTTGGGGGCCACTTTGGACTAAAGGGACCCACTACTAATATTATTATATTACTATTATAGGGACCATTACTAATATTGTTTTATTACTATTTTATTACTAGTACTACTCATATTAATATTCTTATGATTACAAATATTCTGACCACTATTATGGCTATTATCATTATTATTACTACTGTTGGTTCTATTGCTGGGCCAAAGAGAGGACAAGGGTAAAGAGGTCATGAACAGGCAATCAAACCACTTGTGCTGGAAGGGTCACATGCGCTTCATCGAGGAGCACATTGCAAGGCTGGTGCACCATTTTGTTGCACGCATCTTCTTTGTTTCTCGATATTTTCCGGATTTTTCCATGGGCCGTCGACCAGTTTTCCATGCGCCCTCGACAGACAAAATATCAAATTTGGACGTCTCCGTGCAGACCACATACTGCATCGACTGTGGGAAGGCCAAGAGTGGATATGTCTCCAAAAGGATTTCAATACGTCATTTGTTGAGACTTATTGTACAAAGAACTCGAAAGATTGGCCCAAGGCAGACCCCCAAGAACGAGACTTCCGTACCGACAGCTCATCGTCCCATGCCGCAGACAGTTCCTTAAGAGTTGCCAGCCAGCTCCTGCCAAGACATACCCAAAGCCAACATGAACCCAAGCACAGTACACCCTGAAAATTATAGATATCATGTAGAGACCCCCCTAATTCCAAAGCCAAACCTTTCTAGCCAGGGCCAAAGACCGCTCACTCCAGCGCTCGCAAAGCGAAGATCGCTTGGGAGGCTCGTAGAGTTCTCGCTTAGCTCTACCACCGCACGTTTTTTTCACTTACCGCATGACCTATATAAACCTGAAGCCCATGCAGCAGTAATGTGAACCGCGCTGAATTGCATTCTCACCTCGCTACATGGGAGGGTATGAGGGATACCATCCTCTAGTGTCAACTCTGTCAACCTCCATGCCTGATCTAAAACGAATCACCGGGAAGCCCTGAATCTCCAAATCCCAAACCGTTTTAAGAATGCCCAGATCTTCAACCTTGATCCTTAATTCGAATTCCATTGCAGCTTGAAAGAAGGAGCAATCGCGAACCTCATCCCAAGCCCCGAAATCTTGTATGACGCTGGCAAGTATCTGTATAGGGGAACCCCGGTATAGAATCCCAAATTGTTATGAGGACCACAGAAAAAGGTACCCCTAATTTTGGGAAACCCCCCAAGTATGTAGCTTGGTTTCGCAGAGCTGTTGCCAGGGCGTGCCCAGCAGGCGCTTCGGAAGGAAGAGCCCTCAGTCATCAAGCTTCCCAAAACTGGGGGTACCATTTGGGGGGTCCCCATAATAATGATTATGGTCTATTGGGGTCTATATAACTGCCATATTATCTTTGGACTCACCTCCACAATCGTGCACGTTGCGATTGTGTTCAGCTGCGCTTTCGATTGGAAAAGCAACGCGCATAGGTTTGCATCTGATGTTCTTGGCGTTTGTAGTACTTCCTTGCATCTTCTGATTCCCAGAAGTTTCAGGGCAGCACAAAGTTCTTTCCTTCAATCATGATCTGGTGTGGGGTCACACTCGTCATTTAGCGCCTTGGCCAGCTGGGGTGAGCTGGAGGTTTAAAACAAGGACTGCAATGTGTTAGATAATTGTAGCTCGGTCTTGGGTTATGTTATGTTATGTGGCGTCACATTATGTTATGTTCTACTACAGCGTGGATGTTTCACATCTTCTCCTGGCGTTCTAATGTGCACCATTTTCAGAGCTGCAGTCCAGAGGCTTCACATCCCTTCACTCTGCATTGATCGCCAAACACGAGCGTGCTGCACAACGGGCAACATTGCCAACACGAAGCACGAGAATCATGACTAAACCCTAAACCCTAAACCAGAAATCACGCAGAGAATCTCGATGATCTCGTCTCGTTGCGTCTTTGACTTGTACCGCCGTTTGAGGGGGGGGGCCAAGATGACAGGTGTGAAGTGAATGTGGACCCGTGGTAAATACATCCGCCCCCTTAAATGGGAATTTTAATAGGGAGCCCACTATCACTATTAAGGCCCCTACAAAAGGAGGGGATGTATTCAGCCCTGGTCTACATTACCCAAGGCTGCAGCTAACTCGCGCTGAGAGCCGCAGGCACGTGAGACTACACATGAGCCGTCGGAAGAGCAGAAATCATATGGGAGTGTACCAGCAGAGACGGTTTGAAATGGTTGCAATCCATTTTTTGGATCTGCGTAGTTGAGGGTCCCTAAATCCTAAACCCCAAACCCTCAACCCTGAACCCTAGGATTTGGGTTTCATGTTTTGGGGCTGGGATTTGGGTTTTGGGGGGCTAGACCTGCTGGATTTCATCTTGAGGAGGCCAGGGCAAGTCAGGTCATGCGCCTGGACAAGAGTTTGGCGGCGTTGTCGAAATCCACAAACCTCACTGGTTCTTAGTGGGGAAGAGAGGAATATATCATATAGGGGTTATATAGGGATTATATTCCCTTACTCCCTACTAAGCACCAGGAAAAAACCTGCCCTGTATGTAGCCCTGTTGCTACAAAACCTACCCGGTATGTTGTGGCTACATGTGGCTACCAATCTGAACAACACTGAAACGACTCCCAAGACCCCAATTTGCAGGCGTTGACTGCTGAACTTCTGGGTTTCAGGTTCAGGGTTTAAGGGGCCCTACAAATCCTGAATTTTGTCCCTTCGTGAACCACATGCTGGGCATCTGCGATGTTGGTCTTGCTGGACATCAGCTGTTTCGGCCACGGCCTGTAGTTAGGACTCGGGAGTAAGCTATGACTAGGAAACCGAACAGGCGTCCTCAAGATATCCACAGGCACTCCCGCACATAAATCATGTTAGTTATGGGTCAATGCAGCTGGGCCTCTCAGCAGGGTCGCCAATGACCGCACAATTAGATGTACTGCCACTGGGGTTGCGTAACCAATCTGGACGATCTGTACTTGGACCCGGCAGGATGTGACTACAACTGGCATTCAGAGCAGAGCCTGGCCCTACCGTAGCATAGCCCCGATGCACATGACTGGGGAATTTAGGGAATCTCTGCTATTTTTTATTTCAGAGGGAAACCAACCCCAATATACTATATAGTAGTTTCCATTTTCTTTTCCATTATCCCTATATAACCCGAATATACTACATAGTACTTTAGCTTGGCACGGATTGTTCATCGTGAAATGATGGCGTAGCTCCCTCTTCTGGCTGCCATGCGCTTCTTGCAACCCCTGGCCTTTTGGGCTATACACTGCTGCGGTGCCGAGGTGCCAGAGGAGGTAGAAGCATGCCACTCTTATGGGAGGAAGTCCTGTAGCACCTTACTTCAAGCAGTCTGAAACCTGGCAGTTGCTGTGGTCTAGAGAGCCTAGGAGGTACCAGATTTTCTCCATTGTTGGCCAAGGTCATAGCGACAAAAGGATGCACATGGCGATGCACTAAACGTGATCCTTCTTTTGAGTTCCTTGTTGTAGCAGTCATGTTCGCCTGGAAAAGGCCTGGCAACCAGTTTTTTTGGGATCTCTGCTTTCTGGATCGTTTGCAGAGACGACTTGGCTCCATCAAGAGTTGCTCAAGTCAATCTGAAACACTTAACCTGAAGGTGCCGAATTGTTTCTTTGGGCTAAACCCTGAAACAGTAAGCCAGAAGTCAGAACCTCCAACCAACTCAGCACGCTGTTTTCATCCGCAAGCATACTCATATGCCCCAGCCAATGATCTGAGATCGCACCCTGGTCCCAGCATCCAACACTCCAGCACAATAGTTGTCCTCCTGCTTTCTACAAGTGCAGCCCACGTTTAAAGCAGGAGCTGCAGCTCGCGTACTGGTCCTCATAGAGGTGAACACGGTCCATGCAGTCCAGCCACCCCAAAAAACTACATTCACCCATCAAAGCCTCTGATGTCAGGAGAATCAGTCGCAACTCCTGCAAGAGCCGGTCCCGGTCCCGATTGGAGTCCTCCCACCGCCAGTGACCGCATGGTGCTTGTTGCTGTGGGTCTCCCGTGTGGGCTTCAAGCGTTTGAGGGAAGGGGCGTCAAAACGCTCAGGTCGGGGAAAGAAGGTGGGTCAGGCATGCACAAAGTGGCCGAAGATGGCATGTCGCAGCAGTAGCAGAGCATGGGCACTGAGTCCCATGCGACGTGCGGGAGAGTTGCCCCTGAGTTCTAGGTCCTAACCTGGATTCAAACCTGGGTTCTAGCCTGGGCTCCAATTTGAATTCAAACCGGGGCTCAAATCTGGGTTCGGAACCTGTGTTCTAACCTGACCTGTTGGAGGCAGCTCTTTGGGGCTATGTTTGGGTTGTGGGTTTTGATGGGAGCATTCTGCTGGTTTCTGGGTTGCATGAGATGGCAAATCCCGGTTTACAAGCTGGGCCCAACCTGTCAGATGTAATTTTGGCCAGTGGCAAGAAGTAAACATGCGATTCAGCGCATGTGGGTTTTCCCAAAATCAGCGGTACCATTATGGGCGTTCGCACAACGAGGATTATTGTATTTTGGGTCTATATGGGGGTCCCCCTGTTTTAGCAACTACCCTTTGTTCAAGATCAGACAGTTTCTGTGATCAGCTTACAATTATGTTCGTCTCGCACGCCTGCTACTTGCCATGTGGCCTGGGCTCTTGGTTGGGACAGAGTCCGCTTGGCAGACCCAAACCAGCGCAGGCGAGCAACGGGCTTCGGCACCATAAGGAACGCAGCGGAAGCCTGCTGCGCTTAGTGGGTGCCTGTTCTATTCTCTTGCCTCTGCGCAGTCCCAGGGACACCAAGCCGTGGGCGCAGCGGCAAAGCAGTGGGACTTCACAGCAGAGACGAGATATGGGGGCACAGGATCTGGAGCTGCAGCAGAGATTGGCAAAGTTACTTCAGCCTGCGGAGCAATTCTTGTCCTCAGGCCTGGTGGACCGTGCCCTTGAGGCAAAACTGCTTCTGCTGGCGGCTTTGGCGGGGGAACACTTGCTCCTTATTGGACCTCCTGGGACGGCCAAGAGCCTGCTGGCACGGCGTCTGGCTGAGCTGGGCTCTGCTAGCTATTTCGAGCGCCTCCTCACGCGCTTCTCTACGCCTGACGAAGTCTTCGGTCCGCTGTCGCTCAAGGCGCTGCAGGAGGACCGGCTGGAGAGGAGGACCGAACGCTATTTGCCTGAAGCCGAGGTGGCCCTCCTGGATGAGGTCTTCAAGGCCAACTCTGCCATCCTCAATGCCTTGCTGACTCTGCTGAATGAACGGGTCTTCGACAATGGCAGCCAGCGCTGCAGTGCTCTGCTTTGGTGTGCCGTGGGGGCTTCCAACGAGATGCCGGCTGAGGGAGAACTTGATGCGCTCTTCGACCGCTTCCTTCTAAAGCGCTTCGTAAATCCTGTATCAGATGTGCAGGCGAAAGCACTGCTGGCCGCGGCCGCCTCTTCTGGAGCCGCGGTAGCACAGCCTTCGCAGCCCGCGCGCGTAGCAGTGGAGCTCAGCGCGGCGCTGGGCCGGGAAGTACGTGCCGCTGCATCCCGTGTCGCTTTCCCTGCCCGGCTGCTCCAGACTCTGGCAAGACTGCGGCAGCATCTGCAGGAGGAGGAGCCACCTGTGCGCATTTCGGACCGCCGCCTTGCAAAGGCAGCACAGCTTGTCCAGATTGTCGCCTTCACATCAGGTGCCTGCCGTGTGAGTGAGCTGGACCTGCTTTGTCTGCAATACGTTCTCTGGGATCGCGACCCAGAGATGTCGGAGCGGATACGCGACTGGCTGCTGGCCACTTTTGCGCCCAAGGCTGCAGGAGGGGAGGTCGGCGATATTCAAGTCGAGGGTGCAGGAAGATCCGACATGGATGGCATCTATGAGTTTGTAGGTGACCGAGATGGCAAGCGCTGGTATCAGCAACGGGATGGTCAAGGAGCTATCTATTTCGATCTTTTCTGGAAGCTTTGCGATGGCTCCATGCCGGGAGGGCCAGGCAATCCACCTTGGTATCAGAGCATTGAGGACATGACAGAGGTGGTAGTTTCCCAAAATTAGGGTAACCCAATATAGACCCAATATACCATAGTCCTTATTTTCGGGATCCCAAAAAAAGGTACCCCTAATTTTGGGACACCCCCAGGTAGAGCCTCCCACTGGTGGTTGGTCAACCTGTTACGCGGTGGCGGAGCCTTCTCCGACCCTTTGGAAGGTATTGGATGGAAGCGGCAGCACCGACAACCCAGTGGTCCGCGCTAGAATTAGGCTCGAGAGCCTGCAGCGCCGTGGGAAAAAGCCAGACGCCTCGCTGCAGAAAGACTTGGCTTCTTTCATGAAGTCTCTGAAGGCTCTTCGACTGTCACGTCTGGAGGTCCTCTCTGCGCTGCAGGAGGTTTTGGCGCCCCAAAGCACCCAAGGCATGCGATCATTTTGGCTGGAGGAAAGGGACATCTCCGAGGCAGAGGCGAATGTATTGCCAAGTGCCCAGGAGGCAGTCCAGCAGGTCGAACAGCTCCTCCGAGAGGTGCAGTCCTTGCTGGCTCAGCTGGAGAGCAGTGACATGGGTGAAAAAGCGATCAGTGCTGTGTGCTGCTCACAGACCTGTCACCCGAAACAGAAGCAATGTTTTGCGATGACCTAGTAGCCGTCTCTAGGACCTCCGAATCAATCGTGTGGGAAGGCCACGAATGCCCTTGTAGAAGCTTCTGTATACCCACTGCTCTATTTCCGGAATTGTAGAAGCACATAACAAGCAGTTTGAACGCGGACGACTCTGGCGGCAAGTCCAGGTTAGAACTGATCAGTTGTCAAATGAAAATGAATGTGTTAATGCTGAGGAACCATGTTGTTCAGCCATGCAAATTCCTTGCTTCCAAAGTTAAATCTCAAGCCCACGCTCATAATGAGCCCTGGACACACCCGCACTCTGACCCTTCAATCTCCGCTTAAATGTCCACGATTTTTCAGGAGCCTTGTTTGCTGGAACTTCAAATGCAAGCGAGATTTTTGTGAACCCCTGCTTAATACTCTTGATGCTGTTAGTTTCTCTCCAACGTTTCTGCCTATACATTCCCCACAGCATCCCAGCAAGTCCTTGAAAAGGGGCCCGCGGCAGGATTGGTGGTCCCAACGCGCCGCTGGCCACTGAAGCTATCGATCAGGCAGTTTGCACTGTGCCCCTCATCTCCATCATGCTTTGTGAGGCGATGTAGGTGTATCTTTGGGAGTGTATAGTAGCATGTGGCATTCGAGGGATTGGTGGTTGTGCTCTTTTGGGGTTGCTGTAATCCTATGAAGCGGGGAACTGTCGCCATTGGGACTCCCTTGTTTAGGACGGAGCAGTCTTGTCAAGTTCTGAGCCTTGCCAAGCTCATGCAAACCCAAATCTACTAAGGCTGCTGTGGTGACTCTTAGAGGTAGCAGTTCGGAGGTATCAGTGCTGGAATGTCCCAACGAATCACTTGCAGTGCAATGAGCTTGTGCAATCGTCGTGTTAGCTTTGGAATGCAGCCAGGAAGGTTGTTCCGCGTATGGTCTAGCACACGGACGTCGGATTTGGACAAGCTTTCTGAACATTGAAATTCGCCGTCACTAGAGCCTTTGCATCTCAGGAACTCGCTGGCCTCCATTTTCTACTTGGACCAGGAGCCACAGTGCCAACAGTTTGTTGTAGTGAGAAACATGGTGACAGGACATGGCTGCAGCCCTTTGATCATGTTTGGGTTGTTTTTTTGAAGGTACTTGCAGGGGTCTCAGGGCGCCAAATGGCCCTGAGTCGTTCGCTTCGACCCGTTACCCCTGTGAAGGCGCTGGTGGAGATCTACGGCGCGACCTTCAGCTGCGACGGGGTGGAAACGGAGGATGAGCAGATCTGCTGCACTGGTAGCGTATTTGGAATCCTACAATCCTTCGTCAACACAGCCTCGTGGCTGGCCGGCCTGGTCACGCAGTGCGCCAATGTCACGAATCTGCAGGCTGACTGCGCGTCAGTGATATTGGCCTTTCCAGGAAGCGTCTTCGAGGCACTGGAGGCCGGCCTGGATTCCGTGAGTGCGTGCCAGGACCAGGCGCAGATGGTGCTCGACTCCTCGCGGCGATTACTCAAAAACCGGGGCTGGTCTGAACGGTTTGGCGACTGGACCTCGCCTGTGCTGCCTGCACCAAAGCGTGAGCTCAAGCCAGGCCTGGGGTCTCCCGAAGAGAAGCAGGATGCCGCATGGTGCCAAGTGGACGTCACTCAGGCGGCTGTCTACTTTGCGCAGGCCTTGGCTTGTGATCAGGTTGATGTTTGTTCTGGGAGGCACGTGCTGCTCATCTTTGTGGGGCCCCCCCTCTGGTTAACACTTTCTTTGCTTCTGCTATCGTGCTTCGGAGGTGGATGTAGGTCACTGGGACTTGGTAGGTCATGAGGTAACAAAGCAACAGGAGTGCTATGCTGATTACTCATTAAAAACAATTAGATGCTGGGGTGAGCCTACGTCATAATGTAGTTAGGGATACAGGCAAAGCCCCTTCAGGCGGGCGTTTTCATTGATGTTGCGGCACGCCGCGGCTGCACCAACACCACCGGAGCTTTGAACCAAGCTGGTTGTGCTGCCACAGCAACACAGATCTCAACTAGGATGACTTGATTTTTTTGGGCCTAAATCCGTCTTCGTTTCTTGCCTAGGTTCTGCCGCAACCTAGGTGACGCTGATCGTAGCGGCCATGGCGAATGTGGCCTCCTACCTCTCTGGGGCGGCCCAGCGATGTGGGGACACGGTACAAATGGGGATATGTGGGAGCGATGCTGGGAGCATCGCAAATGCAATTGCTAGTCTCTTGCACAATCTTGAAAAGAGTTCTTCTTCACGAGCGCTGCATCAGTCCTTAGAACTCGATCTACATGGACACTTCTCAGGTTAAGGCCCCCCTAATGCCAACAAGCTAGCTTTTCTGGTCCCACACTCAAACCAAGATTGTTCAGGTATTGCAAACGCTGGTGCCAGCGTCCTGGGTACATGCCAGGCAACAAGGGTGGTGTTCTTGGGTACATGATGGCATCCATACACCCCGCAATGCAATGGGATGGTTATGGGATGGTTCAGGTGGTGTCCTTCAATGGGGATAACAGGCTTCCTATAAGATCATGTATCGCTACTTCTCCCGTGAGACGTCCAAGAAAGGTCCAAAAAGAGAGCTCCCAAAACCCTGAACCAGTAAACCTGACCATGCCCACACGACGCTCATTGGACTTCTCCCGGTTCCAAAGCCTAAACCCTAAACCCTAAAACCCTCAATCATTTTAGGGTTTTAGGGTTTTAGGGTTTTAGGGTTTTAGGGTTTAGGGTTTAGGGTTACACCCGAAACCCAAACCCTAAAACCCTGAACCCTTGCAGCGGAAGCCCATGGTTACCCCTGAGGCGATCGCCTCCGAGGGCTGGGAGAGGCTTCGGCATCTGCAGCAGCTGGAACGACGGCCAGTTGGGCCCACGCTGAAAGGTAGTTACATTCAGTAAGCCGGGAGTCTGAATGGGCATATGACCATGGAGATGGCTCTCGCCAGCAAGGGAAGAAATAGATAAATGGATAGATGGAAAAGAAATTAGGGCTACTCTGCTGGATTTAAGGCCCGATTTTCAGGATGTACGAGAGCTTTTGGCGTTCAGAATCCCGTGTGACCGCATAGATGCTCCAATACAAGATTCGGACGCAGAGCTTTTTGCCTGGCTGCTCCCTCAAAGTATGGAGCATCCAGTGCTTCAAAGGAAAGGCTCCGCCAAGTGGAGCCTGAGTAATATGCATGCCTGCAAACTTCTGGAATTCCTAGATAGTGCCCCCAAAGCCCTATTCAGATAACGCAGGTGGGTATCTCAAGGGACTTGCAGCAGTGAATGCAGCTGCGCCAGAATGGATCTGCCAGAATCACGGGTCCGCTCCTGCATCATGATAGAAACTACTGGGCTTATGGGCAGGCCGCCCCAGCTACTGTAGTTTGAAACGTTACGGTTTCATACTAGAGAAATACATCATAAGTTCTCATGGGTATGTTGCCACGCGTGGCGTTCATGTCTTGAGGCTCCAAGTTTTTCTCTTGTCCAGGAATAAAGGGACTTTACTGGGAACCCCAAACAGGGAACCCCAAGAGTATAGTAGGAATATAATGGAACATAAGGACCCTGGTAGGTATATTCCTATTATATTCCTACCATATTCTTAGGGTTCCCTGTTTGCCATTAGAATCCTTTTAATGAAGATGGCAGGAGCTGAAACCACGGTCCGGGTTGCTGCCTGTCTGTTGGCTGGTGAGGCGTTTCGGGCTGCTGCCTCAGTGAGCAAAGCTTCCCTGCCATTGTCATGGATGTGAGAAATAATAGGGTATATATTAGGGTTATATAAATAATAGGGTATATATTAGGGTTATATAAGGATAATGGAACAGACAATGGCAACTACTACAATAGGGTCTGCTTGCGTCCTGAGGTTGCTGGAAGGTAAAGACACGCTGGCCGTTGGATGGCTCATCAGGGGTCTACAGCATCTTCTATTCTCATGTATCTGATGCCCGAAAGCAGACGCATGGCACTGGCCACGGCCACAAGTACAAAGCTTAGAGGCTTGTAATCGGTTGCATCAAAGCGATCCTGCATGCTGCTCTAAACTGGTCACCTCTTTGTCGCACAGTGGCAGCTTTCCATGCAGTTTGTGGCCTTCCTGGCTCTGTCGCTTCTGCCGTTTCGGGGAGAGGGCAGCGCTGGAAGACTTCAAATCCCAGACCTGGGAAGGCAGTTGGGCCTTGGGGCCCTGTACGACGCTGTGGAAGATGTCCCTTTGGATGCGTGACTGGACAAGATAGTCATAATTGTAATACTACCAATAATAAGACTAGCGAATAGTAAGAAGAGTAATAATAGAATTTTTCATAATAATGGAAATAATAGGAAGAATAGAGTAATAGTAACGATAATTCAGAATGTCTTATGATGTACCCATTGTTTGAACGTTGGGTGGTGTTGCAATCCATTGCCGGCATCCGTTCAGAATCAGTGAGCCCAAGGCCATAGGCACGGTGTGTTTGAGCCCACTGTTGGACTTCTATCTTCACTCCAAAAAGCGAAGGGCCATGAAGCCTGAAGCACTGAGAGGATTAGGTTTAAGGACCCATGAGACATGCCGGCAAAGAAAGAAGACCTACGCCTCTGTTCCTGACAAGCCCAAAGTTTCCAACGAAGGTTCATGTGGCCCAACGACGTCCTGAAGAATCCTCGTTTTGTTCGTACAACTCCTGCAAGTTCGTCTGCCTTGAGCTTCACGCACGAGAAGAAGCTGGCTTTCCGCCCGCAGATCAACAAGCTACAAGTAGGGGGACAGACGCACTTACAGCCTGTCCAGCAGGAAGGCAACTGATAGTTTTCCTGTCTCCTAGAAGTCTGTGCGACTCATGCATATCCCAATGCTGGATGCTCAGGTTGCTCGAGCAAGCTTGCAAGACATATCTGCAACCGCAACTTTGGCCATTGGATTCGGCTTTGCATCTGTCTCCGGCCGCTTGGCAGTCAATTGAAACCTCTGCCTTCAAGTTCAGGGTTTAAAGTTTCATGACCTTTGGATCCTATTTCGCCTCATGCGAACTCCTGATTAAGGAGCTGCGAAGCTCTTTTCTGGCCCTAAAAGCATCCAATGCGGAGTAGGAGCTTCCTCAGAAGCCTCTTCATGGTTTCGTCCCCTTGCATAATCTCCACAGTTTGAGGACCCTTACATAACCCAAAACGCATCTCTCATTCTCAGCTCCCCCTTAGGAGAGATCACAGGCAAGATTCCTGACTTAGGGGCTTTTTGCGCTCTCAACGCCAAGCCCAAAAATGTCAGCCTTGAAGCCCTAAACCCTAAACCGGCAAAAATGCTGAAGGTTCTGTGCGACTTCTGCAGGAGGACCGCACCAACAAATACACTGCGGAGGTGGTGGCTAACTACAAGGCAATCTCAACAACAATAACCAGGGTCATGAGTACATGCAGCTCAAAGTGGAGAATTTCATAGCTAAAGTTTTAACCAAAGAAGTGATAAGTCCCACCAGGTGCTGACTGAAAGAACTTCGTTGAACATCCATGATGCCGCGATCTGCGACGAGCGTCTGGATGTGACTGCATATCCGGGCCTCAGTCAGGCAACGCATGTGGTGACAGAGATTGTATGGGGGAACGAGTGTGGTGGGGTGTTCACAAAGACCACCCAGAGCGAGTCCACCAGAGATATTGATGCTGCCAGTGTCCGCGTTAAACTTAATTTTCTTCTCAAAACAGTTACAAAAACGATCGCTGATCACCACCATGAATCCGCTTCATCGTCTTCATCGGAAGACATTTCTGTACATACATTTGGTGATCTCCTTCCAGATGGCGAGTCTCCAACAGATGCTGAATCGGCAGTGCGGTATATGCTCACCATGCCCGACAAGGTGCGCCGAGGAGGTGCAGTTCCCAAATTGCTGACGTTGACGCCGGTTGAGGAGGTCTGCGCACAAGCCTCGCGACAGGATCGCCGGCTCTCCCCATCCAGGGAACTCTACAGTGTAGACTTGCCTGAACGCTTCGTTAGCTTGGCCTTGCAGATGTTTCAGGAGCTGGAAGATGCCGAAGCGTGTTGGAAGGAGCTACAAAGCTTTTCGACCCACGGCTTCTTGTCACTGGCATCCACTGTTAACTGCAACCTCTGGAACATCCATGATTACCGCATAGAGTTTGGAAAGGTGCTTCATGCTGCGATCGCACGGTACCGCTCAACTGGCGAAACCCTTGTCTTGGATGAGGCGCTTCAGAGCTTCCATGATGCTGGCTTCTCAGCCTTAGACACGGATGGTGCGTGCGAAGCCTTGCATGCGGATTTCATTGCAGCCAAGAGCCTGTCGAGCTTCATGGAAGCCGCAGCGTCGCTTCGCATGGCGTCTCGTTTCTCAGACTTTGCCAAGATTTTGTGGAGCCCAGACAAAGATCTTGTCTACATGCTTGTGTATGTCGGTTCACCGGGATCGGAGAACAAGGGCTCGCTCGACCTACTGAAAGGGTTTGTCAACGTGGCTGCGGAATTGCAGCGCGACACTGCCTCACCGCATTGCATCAGAAACGGGACAGGCCAACAGGAGTGCTTCAAGGACGTTGCATTTACGCTCGTGCAGTTCGACACCTTTTGTCAGCAGTTCTGCCCAGCTCAACATTGCAAGCAGTGGTGCCAGTATGAGAACTGTACGCACCAGACTGTTTCGGGGCTTGATTTTGAGGTGCCCGACGAGCTATGGTGCTAGTCCCCCTACTCGGTCGTAATGCGGGGTCACAAACATCAGCGACCTGAACTAGTGGATGAGCACCTCCTTGCCCTACCCAACCTGGAGGTGACGCTTGAAGCAGGCCAGGACCTGAGGCAGGAAGCGGTTCTTAATGTGGAGATGGACTGTGCGCCCCCAGACGTCTTGAAATACATTCTTCGCGTGTCTCGAGAGGTTTCGAGGACTTTGGATCCCTTCACTGGCCGTACGGTACGAAAACATGCTCAGATAGACTACGAGGTCCAAGCAAGCGACTTGCAGGTGGCTGCTTCTTTTTTTGAACCTTGTTGATTCTGTGCCCAAACAATTTAGAAGGACCCGCATAAGGGGTCACTTGCTTTCACTTAGAAAATATGCTCAGGTCGATGTGAGCATTGATAGAGGCAGTTTGTACTCCTTCAGCGTTGCGGCGGTTGCAGCAGCAGGAACCAGCCCTTTCTCCAAAGATGTCTCATTGACAGGGCAGTCCTGCTCTGGGGGGGCTGGAAGGTGCCTGCAGACAGGCCTGACTATTTTGCCTGTGCCCGTCGCCGGCGAGCGGTCCACACGCAGGGCTTTGCTAGAGCTGGGCCGTGAGCAGAGGGATCGGGTGCCCAGCTGGCTTTGCTTCGCAATAACCATCGCCCTGTCTTCGCCTGCATCCGAGAGGCTGGTCTCCGTCGAGTTCGCAGATCCAAACAACACCAGGACATTCTCTCAGAACATCAGACGTTCAAACTTTGGAGCCCGTCAAGTT